AGCAGAGGGCAAGGGAGCCCATCAGTACAGTGTCAACCAGGGCAGCACAGTGGTGAGGAGTGGCCGGGGACAGACAGAAGCCATCATGGACGGAAATGACTCCCACAACCGTGTGGCTGGCCCCCTCCCACCCTCTCCTTCCAGGCTAGCTTTCCCAGGCACTGTGACGGAGTCAGGCTCGTCCAGCATCAAAGTGCTTTGTATCAGCCCAACGCTCGCTTAGCCTACAAAATTTCTCCAGATTTTCAGAGCAGCTTCCCTTCCTACTTCTCTCTCCAGTGTTTATTTCCTCAGCGTGTTTCCTGTAATTTGCAAAGATTAAAGATTTAAGCTTCTTTTATTGCAATGTACTTTCCCTGCCCCATTTCACATTCTACCCGCCCCTCCCTGTCTCCTCCCGCGGAGCCCCCAAATCATCTCTGCACGAGCAGAAAATGCTCCACAGGTAGACCTCACCTGGCACCACCATGGCCGTGCTCCTGAAAAATGAAAGAGATTCAGCCTCTGCAGGTTGAACATCCTCTACCACCCTCCTCCCGATTCAACATCATCTTTCATGCCAGGCTGTCTGGGTTTCAGCTTGGTCCCAATTAACAAGGGTTCCCAACACTGTGTGTGTGTAGCAACTTGTCCGTTCTCTGTTCTCTCACTCTCTCTCGCTCTCTGGGGCTTTGAATCCTGCTATTCCTGATGTGTAAACAAATCTTCACTGCGCTAGGGGCCTGCACTCTTTGAAGCAGCTCAGCGTTGAATCATTTAGTGGTGGTGAGAAGACTATGAGAATGTGAATAGTTCTGCCCAGCACCGATCTGTGTTACTGCCAGGGCCGGCGCCCTGGATGCACGGCCTGGGCAGTCCCGGGTGCTCAGAAGGGTTTCATGTTCTGTTATTGCTGTCTTAAAACTCAATACTTCTCTAGTAAGGGGCCCCACATTTTCATGTTGCACTGAGACCCAAAAGTTGTATGGATGGTCCCAGCTATCGTTATTGTTATTGCCGCTACTGTTGTTTTGTGCGCGGCCCACCTGCCTCTCAGGAGATGATACCTCCTGCATCCCGTGACGTGGGAGGAAGCCTGTTGCTGGGTAGCATGTGGTGCTGGTGTTTCCCAGCATCCAGTCAGACCCTGAGCAGAGGCAGAGCTGGTCAAAGGGAAGAGAGCAGCAGACTCAGCAGAGGACACTCCCTCACTCATTTGCTTCACTCAACAGTTACTGAGCTCTGCTCTGTTCCAGGCACTGGGCTGGGGCTTGAAGGAATATGACAAGGACATATTCCTTTTCTCCAACCCCAGAGCTATGAAGTAGGGCGTCTACTTACGTGAAGTAAACCACACCTCAAGTCGGGTAGAAAGAGTGGTGAATTCTAAGTCAAGAGACCTGGCTTGTAGCCCCTGCTCTGTTCTTGGCTTGCTGTGTGACCTTGGGCAAGTCACTTCCCCTCTCTGAACTAGATCATTACTTGCCCAAATGTGTCTGGCCTCAAATAACCCATCTCAGAATTCCTGGAAATGCGGGTTTCTGGGCTCCATCCCAGAGTGACCGAATCACAATTTCTAGAGGCGGGTCCCCAGAATCATCGCCCAGAGCTTTGCACGTGATTCCGATTGCATTCTAGTTCAAGAACCTCAGAGGTGCATAGCCTGAGCCTCTTTGGCTCTAACATCTATGTTTGGTAACTTCAGCTCTTAAATTGTGTCTTTATAGATGCACCGATAACGTGCCATGTCCAGAAAATGGGGGAAACTGAGGGTGGATATGACACAGGGACATAAGGGGGCGGGGGGCTGTTGTTCACTCTCGACCAAGGGAAGCCAAGGGCAGGTCTGTGACGAAAGAGAAACAAACTCTACCTGAAGTCGTAAGTGGTGCTTTGGCCAAGGCAAGGCCGGAGAGGATGTGGGACTGCAGTCATGGCTGACCGTGAATTCTGCTGCTCAGAACTGCGCCCAGATCACCCGGGGCCTCCGGACAAGAGACTCACAGGGGCAGCTGCTTAGAAAAGCAGGGTGGTGGAGCCCTTATCCGCCCCCGCGGCCTGAGAGGGCTGGGGTCTGCTCACAGCTGACATTCTACAGCTGTGCTGCCCACATGTGGCTATTCACATTTAAGTTAATGAATTAAAAATAAATTAATAAAGCAAAAGAAAAGTAAATGTGTGAGGTGATGGATGTGTTCATTCAATGGAAGAAATTCTTTTTCAGTGTATACAGATCTCAGATCATCACGTTGTCCACTTTAAATACCTTACAGTTTTATCAATTACACCTCAATAAAGCCAGGGGGAATTAATTAGTTAATTAATTAACATTTCAGTGCCTCAGTTGCACTCATCACACTTTGCGTGGCTAGTGGCCGCCAGGTTGGATAGCACAGATCATAGGACATGGCATCTGGGCAGAAAGTTCCACTGGACGGCACTGGTCTGAAGAGGGCCGAAGCCTTTTACCTTTTACCCACCGCCCTTTTCCACTCGTGCCCACCGGTCGCTAGATGTTTGTAAAAATAAGAGATTACTTCAGGAGTTTACTCTGCCCCAGCTCCTGCTGCTTCTGAATCAACTCCCCTTATGAATCCTAAGCAAGACCGATTAGCTTTGGAAGCTCTCACTGACACAGGCACACGGCATTTCTGACAGAAAGGCTTCCTTTGTTCATCCCTCCCTGTAAGCCTGTCTTGCTGCTTCTAAGGTTTCCCGAGCTCAGTGCTCTCGCCGGCGCCCGGCTTCAGCTGGCTGTGGGAAACAAGTCTTGGCGCCTCTCCCGCTCTGAACGCCTCTGAATGTGCGTTCAGTTCACCCAAGCACTGGCATCTCGTAATCCCAACACCACAACACGTTCACTCTGTTCCCTACTGAGAGCCTGTTCTCGGGGCTCCTCCACCTCTCCTCAACCCCACCCCGGCGCGAGCCTGAGAAAACACAGCCGCAGAAAGCTGACTTCTCCCCCTCCTCCTCCTGTCCGTTCTCCCTCTCCCACCGTCCCCGTCCCGATCAACCTGCGGGCCAGGCCCCGGGAGGGGCAATGGGCTGGAATGAACAAGAAGCGCTCTGTCCTCTGAGGCCTTCGCCATGGGCAGGAGTTTGAACAGAGCGATCTGGGTCAAGAGATCGAAGAAGAGTTGACTGCTGGGTGTAGGGGGGCGGTGTGCTTGTGGATCGCCTGGCATTCTCTTCCTCGCCACGGAGACATAGAGTGGGAGGCAGAGGGCCTCTTTTGCCTACCCCTCTGTCCACCACTGGACTCTTCGTCTAGACTATGAAAGCCCTGCCTGGGCCTGTCTGCCTACGAACGCTTTCTTTCCAAGTACCCGCAACCTTGGAATTCTCAGCCAGCTCCAGGCCCCTTCCCTTGCCTTGGGTCACTGGTCCCCGAGCTCTTTGTGGATCCTGCCCATTTGTCTGACCCAGCCCTTCCTTCCTCACCCTTGTTTTCTGTGTCAGCTTTAGTGCATGTCCCCAGACTCTCCCCAAGTCCTAGCCCTGGTGCTGACACATGTCTCCTGCCCTCCCTGACCTCTGACCTCAATTTCTCCCCCAATCTTCCCTCACCCACCCTCTCTTCACTCATTCCTTTTAGAACACACTCCTTGGTTTGGACTCTAAATTGGCCTTGCACGTTAATAAGTGAGCATGGTTTGAGTAACAAGTCTTTCACTCGTTCCTGACTACCTGCTAGATGCCTGGTCCTGTACAGGACCTTTGAGAGAGAGAGAAAGCCCGGACTTTGGCCTTAGGACACCACAGCCTGTGGATACACAGTCGTCAGATACAGGACCATTATATGCGGTGGCAGAGCCACGTCAGGCCTGGGTGAAGAACTCAACAGAACAAGGGAAGGAGTTGCTTTGGGTGGGGCTGGGAGCTGTGTCTTCACTGAGGAGCAGGGGGATACCGCTCTGGGCAACCCTGGAGGGTTGCGCCACATGGTGCCACAAAGCAGAAGGCTGCCTAGAGCCAGACCGGAAAAGGGACGAGTTAAGGGGACTGGGTTCCTTATAAACGCAGGAGGGAGTGGCACAGGTTATTGTTCTGGAAAACTTAGCCGCAGGCTGTTTGGAAGGAAGGCCTTTAAAGGCTTTCCCACAGGTGCGCTTTCCGCCAGTTTTGAACGCCAACAGACAAGATGAGCCAGGCTCTGCTGCCCCTGCCACCTCCCACTGCCAGGGGCCATTTTTCCTGCCAAAGAAAGAAAGGCAGAGGCTTCCTTTTCAGCGGCCCGTCCCCTTCAGCTCCAAGGCACAGCAGACACGTGGCATACAATACAGACAAGCCCTGTATTTCTATTTCCATCATGGGATCGTTGCGTTTCCCTCCTGATCGCCTTACCTTCAGCTCAGAGCTCAGTAGACAGGTTTGTAAATAAAATAAAGGGGCTTGATTCACATCATAATCCCATTCTGGAGTTTCAGAGACTTAACCAAGGTGTTGGCCTAACTGACCTGAATTAGTTTCTGATTGGTAACTGAAACAGATCACCACCAACTTCGAGGCTTCACGGACTTATTATAGACTTATTATCTTACAGTTCTGGAGGCCAGAAGTTCATAATGGGTTTCATTGGGCTAAAATCTAGGTGTTAGCAGGAGGCTGTAGGGAAAATCCATTCCCTTGCCTTTTCCAGCTTCTGGAAGCTGCCTATATCCCTTGGCCTGTGGCTCCTTCCTCCATCTTCAAAGCCAGTAGCATAAAATGTTTCCATTCTCTCTCTGACTCTGCCCCTTCCTTCCTCCCTCTTACAAAGACCCTTGTGATTACATTGGAACACGTGGATAGTCCAGGGTATTCTCCCCATCGCAAGGTCCCTAACTTCATTATATCCACAATGTCCCTAAGCCAAGGAAGGTAACATATAGACAGTTTCCAGGGACAAGGAGGCGGACAACTTTGAGGGCTTTTATTCTGCCTACAACATGTCCCCCCCCCACCCCGAGCTTGCAGTCCCAGGATTCTCTAGCATCTGTCGTCTCTGACCCCTGGTCTGTCCATCTTTGTTCTTTCAGAGGAAACAACGTTCGAAGCAGGAGTAAAAGTTCAGATCCACAGTCAGTCTGAGCCGCCCTTCATCCAAGAGCTGGGCTTTGGGGTGGCTCCCGGGTTCCAGACTTTCGTGGCCACACAGGAGCAGAGGGTAAGTTCCTGGGGTCGGTCAGAGGTCCTCGGCCTATCCTGGCCACCTGCAGAGACGCGAGGAGGAGAAATGGGATTACCATTTCTGGTAGGTTCTGAATCACCCAGGAGGCTGGAGCATGGCTGGGCTCAGTAAAGGGACTCACCCTGAAAGTAGGGAAGGTGGCGGCTAACCTCCGTACCCCAACCCTCCAATACCATGTGTCAGTTCCCAAAACTGGGTGTGAAGGAAACTCTGCTTATTTTCTTTGTCACTGAATTGGTTGTTTTGGGTTTTGGTTTTTGTTGGTTTTTTTTTTTTTTTACTAGAACATTCTGGGGGGGGGGGGGAATATTTGGGAGGGGGTAGGGGGAACAGTGGATGCTACCGGAAACTGCTAACCAGAATTGGACATGTTGCGCCACCTGTGTTGCTATAATCCAAAATTGCTTACACAAAGGCGAAGGAATGGGGGCGTCACTCTCGTAATAGAGCCTAGGTGGGAGGAAGCTGCTTGCGTGGGGCCTGCCTGCTCTCCCTGATTTAGTGCTGGGGAAGAGGCCCTCCCAGCCAAGCAGGGCTGCTGCGTCAACTGTGTGCTGAGTGGAGTGAGGACTGGCATAGCCTCTTGTCGGACATGGGTTTCGCATCTTGGAAGGGAGACATTCACACATTGTCCTGTAGGGACAAGTGTCAAAGCAGGACTGCAGAAAGACACAGGCATATTTTCTTTCTCTCACCTCTGGTTTCCCTAGAATAAAAGCTGCATAGGCTGTGACTCTGAGGAAGTCCTAAACTAGATCATACAAGACAATCTGCCCTGGGAGGCCTGGGGCAAAAGGGAGGGAGGTGAGTGGTCGGAGGCATCACCTGTCAAAAGGGAGAATCAGGGAGAACAGTACAGGGCTGATCCTCAAAGAGGTACACAAGTAACTTACAAGTTCAGCTTGTTTTTCAAGTTTAACTCAGATGTCATCTTTCATCTAGTACTGGCCAGAACTCTTTAGACATTTTATAAAAAAGTATTCTGTATTAGAAACTGGGTTTAAACTGTAAGCGAGCTATATTTTGTAATCTCAGGGGGGAAATTGATGATGTGGGCCTCAGCAACTGCGCCCTGTATTTAATGCCTGGGCAGTTACTAAAGGCCAAGGTCAGCCTCCACTGCAGCACATAAGGGGTGGGATGGCAGCTTTGCGGGGCGGGGGCGGCGGGGGGCGGGCGGGGCAGAGGAGGCTGGAAGGTTGGGCTGGCCTTCCAGGCCCCAGGGACTAAGACAGGCAGTGTGAGCAGAAATGAAGTGTGCAAGGGTATGCAAGGTGGGAACGTAGCTGTGCACCCAGAAAACCTATCCTGAAGGACAAAGAAGGAGGGCATGAACCAGGCAGCAGGGGGACAAGTTCAGGGCTGAGGATTTGAGTCAAAAAAGACTAGCCTCAGGTATGTAAACTACAGCGTCGGGAATAGTCAATAATATTGTAATAACTAGGTATGGGTTCCAGGTCGGTCGTAGACTTATCAGGGGGGATCACTTCTTAAGGTATCTAAGTGTCTAACCACTATGCTAGTACACCCGAAACTAATATAATGTTGAATGTCAACTGTAATTGAAAAAAATTTTTTTACCGAGTGAGAATGCAGATGTGCAAGCCAGGGCGTGAAGATGAGGGAACTGGGGCCAGGCTATTAGCCTCGCTGTGAGAGCCAGCCTCTTGAGTTCAGTCGAAGATAAACAAAGCCAGATACTAGTTACAGTGGCAAGGGCAGATTTTAATCAGTAATATACTCATTGCAAAGAGGGTTCAGCATGAACTGAACTCAACTTCGATTTATACAGACGTGACTGAATGTTTTAAAGGAAAAATCGGGGCGGGGCGGGGAGTGGGAACAGAAGGAGCTTGAGCAGAGTCCAGGAAGTGAAATTGCGAGGAGTGGGAAGGAGAGGTGGGTCCTTGTGGAAGCCATCTGAGTTCCCAGCTGAGACATACCTGTGTTAGACTCCCACCCTCCCATAAAGACAGAGAGACAGAGGCCCTGTCTTCAGGTGTTGGCAGGAACAAATAGTAAATTCTTTTGGCAGCTTTGAGTTTTCTCAGACAGGGACTCTATAAGCCAGGGAGAGGAAGAGGGCATCTAGGGTCATCCTAGGGAATGTAGCTTTGAGCTGTTAGAAACTGCTAGTGTCTTAGCCGGGTAGCTCTGTTGGTTAGAGCATTATCCCAAAATGCTAAGGTTGCAGGTTCGAAGCCCAGTCAGGACACATACAAGAATCAACCAGTGAATGCATAAAGTGAATCAATAGATCAATGTCTCTTCATGCTCACTCTCTCTCTCTCTCTCTCCCTCTCTCTCTCTCTTATCAATAAATTTAAAAATAAATAAATAAAAAGAAACTATGTTAGTGTTTGTTCGGATCCTTGTAGGCCAACACTGAGGCTTAGCTGAGGAGAGGGCTCTAAGTGGCCTAGCTAGAGTTTGGTCAGAGAATCTTTGTCAGTCCTTCCTTTGTGTGTTGTGTGACTAAACCCTCCTCCCTTCAAAGACCCAGGCATGGATTAGACTAATTACTCGCTGTAGATATGAATTCTTTGACTCTCCAAAGGTGAATTTTTGACTAGTTGCCCAGGGCAAATCTGCCTCTGTGGTCTGTTTGCTATAAGTGCCACGCCTGTCACGAGTGACTTAACTTGTTCTGACACCTCTGTCCTCATTGCTGTTAGTGTGCAGGGGAGGCGAGCAGCACTCTCTGAAATCTTTGTCTAGCTGCTAGCTGAGACAGTTGGAAAGAAGGAAGCTCTTTGCATGTTGCTGTTTGTCATCTGCCTGAGAGAGGTGCTTATTTCTCCCCCACCCCCCACTTATCCTCCATTAGTGACCCTGAAGAAATTTCTAGGCTGAGTGGGGGAGCTGATGACTTCTAAGAGTCTTTTCAGTCTCTTTCTCTTCCTAATAGGAAACAGAGGGACCCCCCACCGTGAGGAGGAGCAGAACACATTCCGAGCTCCAGAGGGCAAATTCATTGTTTGCTTTGATGTATAGTCTCAGAAAATCAGCTTCATTCATACCCGTATTGCTATGATAATTATAACTAATAACAAGAGATCTGGTTAAACATTTTACAGTCTTCAAAGCATTTCCGCATCATCTCATTTTATCATTTCATTCATATTAATAGAGAAATTCAAAAACAGATCCTGGAGCTAAATCTGATAATATGTTATGTTTACATGTATATAAAAGAGCATATTCATAGGATTTGAAGGAAATAACGCAAAAATACCCACAGTGCAGGGACTACGAATGATTTATTTTCTTTTCTGGGTTTTCCTCAAGTTTTATAATGTGGCTTTTTTGTTTTTTTCATTCAGTAAATGTTTGTCAAACACCTACTCTGAGTGATGGGCACACAGCGGTAAACAAAACAGAGCCAGTATCTGTCCTCACACAAAAAAAAGTAAATAAATACTGTGAGGCCAAGTGTCATTTGGGGATTGGTCCCCGTTTGTACATTTCCACTCTGCCATTAGTACTGACCGCTCCTATCCAGCTGACCCTGGTCCTCAGACACTGCATTTCTTTGATTCTGAGATGCCTATTTTGTTTTCACATTGTAACCTTTCTGAAACTAGGATTTGTTCCCCAATGAACTGCCTCTCACACTTACAATTAGCAGTGGTTTTTCTTTCTTGGTGGCACAGGAAATCCTGGTTCAGTTTACAGTCTGTGGAGTTTACGTTGTTCCGCTTCCAGGATTCTGCTGCTTGGGGTCAAAGTTCAAGGGAGTCTCCGAGAAGGCTGGGCGGGGTGTCAAGACTGTGGGGAGCAGAAGGCTCCTCCCTCGAAAGTTGGTCTGAATCTTGCCAGGGGAACCGTCTCTCCAGTGAGAGCCTTAAGAGGAACTGGGATTCCTAGAATCCTGCCGTGAATCTTGATGTAAATGGAAAAGTCCTTTCTCATGGTAAAAATCATCCCACCCCTGCCAAAGGACATATGCGCCTCTTTCAATATGTTTTCATTTTATTTTGTAATCCAGACCAAATTGTATCTCCTAACCCCAATTAAGCCAAGATATGCCCCTGCCTGTGTCGACAACCTGAGAAATGGCCCCCTGGTTGGCTCGGCTGCTGCAGACGCCCCTGCATGGCCCCAGGACCACCACCACCAGAGACAGGCACGGGATACCGGGCCGGGAGCAGAGGCACAGCCCGGAGGTTTAGGCAGGAAGTTACTGCTCACTGAGTACACACCACTTGCGGGGCAGTAAGCGCGTTATTTTGTTTAGCACCCCCACAACAACGCCAAAAGAAAGATTTTGTTCCCTTCACAGTCCTGAAGACAAAACTACGCAGTTAAGCAACTTGCTTCAGTTACTAGCCAGGAGGGTAGCCGGGCTCAGCTTTGAGCCAGATCTATCTGCAGAGAGAGAACCAGCCTAGGAGCCCACAGGCCTGGACTCCAGTGCTGGCCGTGCCATGAGACCGCGGACAGGTTGCTCTTCTCCCAGGTTGCAAGGTTTCCCATGCACAGAATGAGGGGATGGGTTAAATGCCTTCAAAGGGCCTCCAGCACGAACAGCCTGGGAGTCCCTGCCTGTGTCGCTCAAGCACACAGCTGCCACCTGGAAGTTTGGCTGACAGCAATTTTGCACTTTGTGCCCGCTCCCTGCTCTGTAGGAGCTGGAGTAAACAGCAGCCCTAATTTCAGAAGGGAGGCTCTGGGCATGCTCTGTGTTAGTGCCCCTTTCTCAGCCCCCACACAGGGTGGTCGCATCACTACCCTGCCTAAACCCCTTAAGTCCCCAGGCTTCTAGTACCTGGAAAATCCCAGCCCTGTAGAATGGCTTCTGAGGCCCTGTTCCCCACTCCAGCCTTCTTATCTGCCTGTGGTGGACCAACCTGCACCCTATATTCCAGTGTGCAGAACCACCCACCCAATACTGCGCACACCCGATGCCTGCCTTCGTGCGTTTGCACCCACTGCTCCTTCTGCCCAGAATCCCTTCTTGTCTTACCTACCTGGCA